TTTTTTAAATAAAGGGCCCCAAGTTTTCGATAGAACACAGCCAAGTCTCCAGAAACACATCGTAGAAGTAATAATAATAAACCATAATAAATAATAAATAAATAAATAAATAAATAAATATATAATAAACCCAGCATTTCCGTTAAAAATCTACACATAGACAGACACGTGACTTTTGGGACACATGGACAACATTAAAAAAAAAAAAAAAAATAGGCACTAATGTATCTAAATCACATAGAAAAAAAAATCTCCACTGACGAGAATTACTGTTGTATGAACCCTTACGCTGAGCATTATAAATTACTGTTCCAACATATGGGGCTCAACCACAAAATATACAAAAAAAACACAAAAAACACGAAACTGCAAAACTTGCCGCAAGAGTAGCAAAAAGGCAATATAATAAACATAATATGACCCTCATATAAACAAATGAAGATGGTAAAAAGTTCAACAAAAATTATAATATGACATATGCATATTCATTTATTTATTTATTTATATTTATTGGTTAATGTCTCTAACGTAGCGTATAGCGTGTTGGTCTAGCAATCTTGCAGACCTGGGTTCAGTCCCGCGCGCTGCCAGTGGATGGTCACCCCGGCCATTCCTTGCACACAGGGGGAGAGATTTGGAAGCAAAATAAAACAGTCAGCACGCCACAGCAAAGAATATCCATTGTAACAAATGGAATTAACACGAAATCTTTAAATCTTAAATCTCTACAAACAATTGGTAACAAAACAGACACTCGTACCAGACAGATTAACCCGTCAAGAGATCATACACAGAGTACACAGAGTCAAGACAAATGCAAATCCGAGGACCCGAGGTTCGGAACAACTTATCACAAAATCTTAGAAACATTTCCCAGTCTAATTACTTCCAAAAGGAAATTGAAGGAGCATCTTTTAGATTATCAGTGACATCAGGAATTTACACAACAGAATCTTAGAAACATTTCCCAATCTAATTACTTCCAAAAGAATGGACAACAATGGAATTTACATGCAAAATCAAACCATGTAAATCTTTGTCTAATGAGGTGACCATTAAATACTAATGTATTTGATATTGTTTCTGCTATGTCTGTATTACTGTAGGCTGTCACTATCTATGTAAAAATAAGAACCATTGTATTTAATGGAATAAAGTATTTTGACTTTGACTCTCTCTCTCTCTCTCTCTCTCTCTCTCTCTCTCTCTCTCTCTCTCTCTCTCTCTCTCTCTCTCTCATTTACACACACACACACACAGACATAGATGTCTATATATGTATCTGTCACATATGACTATCTGTTCATCATTTGATCTATTTATTTATATGTCTTTTTGCCTGTCTATCTATCAATCTATTCATCTTTCTATTATCCATCTATCTATATATCTATCTGCCTATCTCTACCTATCCGTTTATCAGTGTCTACCTACCTACCTATCTATCTATCTATCTATCTATCTATCTATCTATCTATCTATTTATCTATCTATCTATCTATCTATCTATCTACCTATCTATCTATCTATCTATCTATCTATCTATCTATCTATCTATTTATACATCTATACATCTACACACTCAGCATTCCTCCGCTGGTGTTCAAGGCAGATTTCAGATTTTTGACTCCAGATTATTTCTAAAACCAAGATCGACAGCTTCCTTCTTCGCCGACACGCTTCTTGGAACCGAATCTGTTGAAGAAACACGAAGACGCCAGTGGGAGGAAGACTCTCCTCTCTCTCTTTTGCTGTCTCACTCTTTTTTCTCTCTCTTCTCTCCTTTGCTCTCTCACTCTTTTTTCTCTCTCTTCTCTCCTTTGCTCTCTCACTCTTTTTTCTCTCTCTTCTCCCTTTTGCTCTCTCACTCTTTTTCTCTCTCTTCTCTCTTTCTCTACTCTTTTTTCTCTCTTCTCTCCTTTGCTCTCTCCTCTCTTTTCTCTCTTTGCTCTCTCACTCTTTTTTCTCTCTCTCTCTCTCTTCTCTTGCTCTCCTC